TTCCTAGCATCTCATTTCCATTCTTATTTGAAACATATGGTGTTAAGAAATGCCATAAAACAGTTAATTTGCTCCTTTATTCATTAGCTGTTGACTCCTGAAGATCTCATAGCAAGTGTAAAACTTGGAATTCAAACTTAATTCTTAGAATAACTGTTACTTTTAACCAAATGCATCTGCAAAAGAATACACCATCTTCTGCATTATGTCATTACTGAAAGCAGTTTTGAGGAAGTCCTGACCTTCCCCCTAGGACAAACAACAACAAACTCCTTTAAGATGGTAACTTCCATATTTGTACCTTCCCAGCAATTTAACTTCAGGGATGAGATGCTTTCAGGTTCAAGATGTATTACTAATCCCTCCCCATTCTCATAGTTAATATTTCACAGAAGTTAAGGAACTCAAAACTTAATTGGTATGAAATAATACTATTTCTTTAGTATCTTCAGTTTTAACAATGTATTTCATGCTACCCTTTTCAGAAGCTGGGGAGAAGCTCACAACTAAACAGCCAAATCCTGCATTTTTCTCCTCAAACCTATGAGAAAAGCTCTTCTCTGTGTATCACTACATCAAATTCAGTGAACTAATTTTGATTTTTGAAGCCACAGAAAATGAAAAACACCAAGTTAATATAATAACAACCACATTGAACTGTAGTGTTATCTGCCTTTCTGTCAGACTGTAACATAAGCCCTCAGTTGTCAGTAGCTCTAGTCCAGCACAATGCTCCAATTTGTGTTGCCCCTTATTCACCCTCTCCCCTCCAAAAAAAACCCCACAAACATACCAAATGCTACAATAGCATTTGTGTTGCATGAGTAGCTCAACAATGTAATTCAGAGTACATTAATCAACCTGAGCCTTAAGAGAGGCCCAGAACACTGAACTGATGTTGATGGTACTCCTTAAAATCAATTCTTTTTTTAAATAAATTAGTCACTGGGCCAAATTTGTTAGTTCCACAAATTAAACAGCATCAATTTACAACCTAAAGAACACCATCCCCTTCATCCTTCCTCCTTTCTCTCTTCACAGAGAAAGCCTAGAAGCATAAATATGCAAAAGTGAGCTTTTGCTCTCAGTATACTGCTACTTAAATTCAAGGCTGCGTGCTCCCAGTGCCAAAGCCTTTCCCCAACTTCCCACAGTATTGTATATTACACCACAACACAGAAGTGCAGTTTTAGAACAGCCACAAACTAATTCTTCACACTGAAGGCCACACAAAGCAGGATTGCTAATATACATTTGGCTAATTGTAGAACGGATAAGTTGTACTCCAAGCAACTCAGAATCACTTGATTCATCTGTTTTGTGGCACACTTCCACAAATAACCTTTTAAGATGAAATCAGTCAACTGCAGTAGTTCAGGCACAGCATTCCTATTTACTCACAGTATTGTGTTAATTTAGTAAGTACTCAATGTAAAATCATTCTTAACCAGACATGAAAGTATTTGCTAACATAGACACTTATTACAATACCACCTTCATTAGATGTTAATTTAGAGTAGTCTCCTTAGGTGAATCAGCATACAGAAGACTAGGTACACCTGTTCTTAGCTTCCCTTCAACAATACAATTGCAACACTGGCAATGCAACAGACTGAGGACATTCAGAAATCAGGGGAACACCAAAAAACATCCAGTTATTTCTGTACTACAAATCCTCAACTGTTAACTAGTAAAACCAAAGATCTGAGATAGTTTCTGTTCAGGAACAAAAGAACTAGGATACCACACATTTTGTCCCCATCCATTCTCTCTACACTTCTATCTTTTGCTAAGCATTTGTAGAAACCTTTGAAGTAGATGTCTTTGTTCTTGCCTCTTATATACCTCTTATATAAGAGTATTTGCTTGTGCTTATGTCCTCTGACTCCTAAACAGTGGTTTGATGACTAAGCACAAAAGCCTCCCATCTTTAGAAACTGGGACAAACAACTTGATAAGCATGCAGAATGCTGGCTGAACAATACAGGAGCCCAGCCACCTACCTGTCAAACACCTAAAGTCAGAGTCATTACAGACAACACCTCAGTCTTGCCTGTGCACTAAGGCCTTTGTCTTCTCTAGAGGTGATTTTTAATACAAGACTAACACAGAAAAAAAACACAAGGCAAAGAGGTGGAAAGTTACCAAGTGAATACCCAGTTTTGTCCTTCCAGAACATGCTTGTTCTGCTCCTAAGTGGAAGGAATGGTGCAGTCCAAACCAGTAGAGACCAAGAAGCTATACTCTGGGCCAAGATCCCCTTAAGGCTTCAGGAAGTGTGACAGCCCAGGAACTTTTCACTACTCAAGTAACTATTGCATTAAGGCATACCACTCTGAAGAGCCCAGCTCACAACAGAAATTAGAATACAGGTCCATGTTATTCACATGCTGTTGAGGTCACACTCGGTTCATTCTTCAGACCATGAGAACAGCACTGCTTATGCTGTTACAGGTGGAAGCTGCTTACACGTGGCAGCCTCACTAACTTGGAGTTCTTTCTTTACGGACTACATGATTTTAAGTTTTCAAAGCAACAAATTAGCCTAAAACCTTAGTAATTAAGGTACTCAGAGAAGATTTAGTTGTCATGCTTGATGTTTCACTTCATTTACCACCAAGTACTTCCATAAGTCCAAAATACAGTAAGCCTAAAGCAACAACACTGAAGACAGAAGTACTGTCTTTATCTGAGAAACCACACAGACAACACAGGACACTGAAGTTCTTCAACATTAAGTAGAAGCTGTAGATTTCCAGGTTCAGTGAGTTTGGAAGACAGAAGCATATTGTGATACTCAGCTGAATGGTGCCTACTAACAATCTGTGCTCAAAAATAAATAAGTCAATAACAGTAGGAATACTAGCAATAAATTAAAAAAAAAAACTTCAAATGCTAGTTTAAGACTTAGTTTACATTTCAGTCAGCAATAAATTTGTGCAAAATAAAACCATCTTGCATTTTAGGTGCTTACAGATGTTTACTTACAGTTACAGAAACCATACTTCTGTAGCTGCTTAAAAAAAAAAAAAAATCAAACCAGAAGATAGTCTCCCAGCTAATGGCATTTGCTCTTAATTTTAGTCTCATGGAGGTTAGAAGTCACTATGTGCTCTGCAGTAATGTAATTGAACAAGTAGTAAATCTTTTCTTCCATAATTAAGGGAAACAAATTTAGAAGCTGACATATTATTACAGGCTAAGCAAAGGTTGGGATCTTTTTTGACCAGTACATAATGCCAGCAACATAACTCGAATGCTTTAGTGAAACATGTCAGTCAGAAAAGGCTTAAAATAATTAAATTTATTGTTTGAATCAAGTTAAAGCACTTAGTCACTGGGGCTGAGAGCAATTCAGCTCACTTGAGATGCTTACCAGTTGATCTGCCAAATTGCTCTCCTACCTATTGCACAGAGCCCAATGACCGCTGTCAGCATTATGACGTTTACATCCAAGAACCTGTACTGAATTGTCTCCTGTTATCATGTTGTAACTTACCAGCTGAAGTCACCAGTGTAAACAAAGGAAATCATTAGCTATGTTTGTTTCTCTGTTTAGATTTATTGTCTAAAGGCAGTATTTAGCAGACACTTTACCCCTTTACTCAGTAATGACTAAAAGTATCCTTTACCTGACAAGAAGCTATCACAAAGTATATCCTTGGCTAGCAATGCTTCAAAGTAACTTATCCCATGAGTTTGTTATGGAGCCACTTAGATCCACCAGCAAAGCTACACAGGTATAACTTCACTGTGTTAAAGCCAAGCTGCAATGGCAGAGGAAGTTCTCTCAAGTTCATGTCCTTGCTAAGATATTAAAACTTAACAGGAAAAAAATGACTTCTCAGAAGTTTTACAGCTTTGACTGCAGTTACCTTAAGCTTTCAAGCTTCATCTTTGCTATGAAATTTTACCTTGATGACAAGTTAATACAAGTAGTTTTACAAACAAGATAATTATTCAGCAACTGAATAAATAGAACAGATCGGAAAAGCAAGTGACCACATGAACACCAAACATTGGCCAAAGCTAATAAGTTAAATGATTCTTTTCCTTTCACATATAAGCAAGAATCAAGTAGACCAACTAACATATCCTTAACCATCTGATTTACAATCAGTTACAGAATAAACACAAAATCCTTCAAACCTACTGCTTCCTACCTACTTCAACTGTGGTAGTACAGTTGCATGGCTAGGACTAGTAAGAATATTCCCAAGGCTTTTGAAAATGTTTAGAGACTTGCTTTCTAACTATTTGCTTCTAACTTTAACTATTTTTCAATTAAGGCACGTATCACAGAAGATGCTGCAGATTCTTCATACATAAAACTGAATCATAACATGCACAAGCATTTATCCTTGCTCAAATTCTAGAATTAGAGAACTGAGAAGCAATGCTGTGTTAAAGAAATTCCTTTTTCACTTATTGAATGAAGAACAACCTTTTATGAAAAGAGAAAGTTATGATCAAAACCATTTGGACATTTCTTTACAAATCAAGTTATTTTGCCAGACTTCTCATTGTAAAGCTCTGTAGATGTAGATAAAACACCAATGTACAAAGGTTGTAGTAAAAGTTACGCTCAGTATTGTAGACTGACCAGAGCAAGTCTCAATTATGTCATAATTCAATGAATTAAAGAAACTAATATTTAGCTCTCCACTGACGGATGGGGAAAGAAACAGGTGCTTAAAAACACGAGGAGCCAGTGAATATAGGTTAGAAACCATAAGGGATGATGTGACCTCCCCTTGCAGAAACTCACGGAAATTAAGCCTGGTCTTTGTTCAAATACCAAAAAGGTGGTTTTTAAACTTGCAGTAGAAAAGTTATTTCTCTCATTCCAAAAACTTAGTATTTCCAACCAAGAAAAAAACCCATCTAGAAGAAACTGTTGAAACTATTTAGCATGATGACAGTTTTCAATACAAGTACAATCCATGATAACTGAAAGTATCAGGAATGTAAAGAGCTCAAACACTTCTATAGCAACTTACTGTGTAAGTGATAGCTGCCAACATTCCAATCACAGTCAAGGAACTAATGGAAAATGAAAGAGCAGTCAAGCCATCTGAAAGAAAAAAAATATACTTGAAAATTCCTACAGCAGAGGTATATGAACATTTCTTCCTGAAATGCTTTCCTGAAAATGTTTAAAGTTACCAGCCATAACAATTCAGATGAAGAATTCACCTCGGTTTTTTTGTCAAGAATAGATCCTCCTTCAATGCTGCAAGAAGCAGGACAGCCATCTCACCTTTGCTACAAGTTCACAGATGTTGCACTCAGTTGAATGGTTGAACAGCCACTAATGAACTTGTCCCATAGCTGTCTAATACCTCTTTAAAACCCTTTTCTGGCCTCCACAAGGTGCTGTGGTAAACTTCCAAAGTTACACGTGCATTCTGGATGGCTCATCTTTGTTCTGTTTCTTATCACCTGCTTTCTCATAATAAAGCATTATCTAGAAAAGTAAGAAAGCATGGATCCTTCAAACAACCAAACAAGCCAGACTATGGGCCTCAGTTTCACTCAGACCACATACATCTAGGTTTACAAGCTGGAAAAAGGTCAAGGGACTAAGGAGTTGCTGTAGCCTTACTATCACTCTAGAAATAAAAATGTATAGAAGTGTTACCAAGCTCATTCTCAAAGGCATCAGAATTCCCCAAGTCCTCCTGCATAATTTCTCACAACACCCCTGTCCCTAACCTCATCTTGAAGGACATAGCATGGGAAACCTTTTTGCTAAATTAGTAGCATGGAAGCTTGTAGTAGCTAGTACAGAAATTAACTTTAAGCAATCAACTCCATGTTTGCACCCATCCATAATAACTCAGTTACTATTTAGAATGTCCTCCCCTCGCCTAATTCAAGAATTTGGAGCACAGTACTTTTGTATTCCTAATCACATGGAATTATTAGCTGGTTTTAATCAGTAAATTTCAACTTATTTTCCTGAACACAGTGTCAAACATTCACAAGCTGATAAATCCCATTATATACCTACATCCTTGTAGAGGCTAACTTTCTTCTACCAACCCGACAGGCCTCCTTCCAAGAACACCAAAGCCTAGTAGAATAGCACAACTACATGCAACCTCACAGCTCAAATCTTACCTTTGTTATTTTGCCAGGTAATACCAAACAGCTTTTCCAAAGCTAACAGCAATACATTCATAAGTTTCAAATATTACAGCTATGTTTAAAACAAAAAACAAACACTCAAACACCAAGTACTATCCCCCCCTTTAGAACTTGTGAAAAATTTTATTTATGCTCTGAAGTTCAAGGGAAAAGAACCCCACACAAGGAGCCTTTATTTCTAGCGTATCACACCAGGTACTTGATGCATCGTATTGGATGACCTTCCTGTAAATGTATTTGAAACCAACATTCCATACTAATTTTAAAAGTTTGAACTCATGTTCAGAGGAACATTAAGAAACTAACTGACTGAAAAATTGATAATGGTATACCAGAAGTGTATTATCAGGTTCTGCCTCAGTGAATGAGTTTGCATTTCTTTGATAATTCCACTACCAACTAAATGACACAGAACAAACATCCAAAATTAAGATCTTTGTATTACTTGGGTTAACTGCACAAAGACAAAGGAAAATGATGAGTTAATACAAAAACAGAACAACAGGTACAAGACAACAGGCAAAAATTTTGTTCTCATCTCTCCAGCATCTGAAACATAGAAGAACCTTCTGCAACAATACTGACTTGAGGACTTGCTAGCTGTGGAGTATCTCTGTAAAAACCCTGGGAGTTCTTGGCAGACAGCAAGCTGAAAATAAGCCAGCAGTGTACCTTGGCAGCAAGGCAGTCCAACAGCATCCCGGGCTGTATTCACAGCATCATACCTATTCTATTAAGGGAAGGGACCATACGGGGAATACCTCAACTAGTTTCAAGGCCCTCCACTACAGGCAGGATTGATGATTCTATGATTCTAAGAGCTAAACTGGTCAAAGACTGGAACACATGCTGTGCAGAAAAGTTGATGGAGCCAGACTTTTTTTATGCTGGAACAAGGACAGTTTTGGAGATACCCAATACAGGCTGCCTGCTCATCCAGGAGGTGTAGCCCAGGCTCTTCAGTGATGCATAGTAGTTAAGTGTGAGACAGTGGGTGACAGTGTGTATAGCCACACTGGTTAAGGAGAATTATTTTTTTCCATGGCATTAAAGTGTCTCCGTCCTTAGGGTTTTTTGTTTGCTTTTGTTTGGGTTTTGGTGTTTTGTTTGTTTGCTTGAGGTTATTTTTGGTTTTGTTTTTGTTTTCCAAACAAGCTGGCTGACAAAGCCCTGAGCAACCTGGTCTGACCTTACAGCTTCCTTCTCTGTGCAGGAGATCAGACTTAAATGACCTTAAAAGGCTCTTCACTCTCAACTATCTTGTGACATTACAAGTCATAAGAAATCTAGTATGGTAGAGTCAGAAACCTAAAACAGATTTCTACATCTCAACCCAGCACATTAGTGATTAAACTTTCTTATAAATAAAAATTAGCTATACTATACTTTCATAGCAAGAACATGTACAGAGCTGATTTAACTGACAGACGTATCAAGGTAGCCTAGAAAAATTAGCTTACATCTCAGCTCAACTACTGTCACTACCTGTATAAAGAGTTTAAGAAGCATTTTATTCTATGCTGTCAGTTAGAATCTGTGTGAAGCAAGAGAAACACACAAGCAGTCAGCCCAAATTATGAAAAAGCTATGGACTTCTCCTCTTTATCTCCTATGCTCATAAACACAGCTTACAGCACAGCATATATTATGAAAGACTCTGCAAGGATGTCAAAGACACCAAGAAAGGCTTCTTCAAGTGTATAAGTGACAAGAGGATGACAAGATGAAATCTGGGCCTGCTGCTGAGTGGGTCTGGGGCCCTAGTGACACAGGACATGGAAAAGCCTGACGTACTGAATGCCTTCTTTGTCTCAGTCTTTACTAGCAAGACCAGACTTGAGGAAACCCAGGCTCAAAAGACCAGAGGAAAAGATGGAAGGAAGATGTACCCTTGGTGGAAAAGGATCAGGTTAGGGAATGTTTATGGCAACTGGATGTGCAAAATTGATGGACCCCTGAAGGGATATAACAAGTGATAGCAGAGCTGGGAAAAGTTGCAGGCAACTTTTAGCCCATAAAAAAATTCCCAAAAAAGCAAACTATGACCTGACCAAGGCTCATAGTATTATATTCTAAAGCCTTCAGACAGAAGCCATTATTCCAATACATAGCAAGAATAAGGCATAAATATTACGAGTACTTATGCATTTGGATTAATGTCTGTTAGATAAATTAGTTACCATTTTAAAATTGATATCAAACCTGTCTTTGCTCACCTATAAAACACTTTCTTCACACCTTTGCTCTGAAAACACTAACTGGCTAAATACATGAACTGCATAAGCTAAAGGCTAAATAGTAGTACTTCATGGAGTTTGGCCTCTACAGCCCTAGCATAAAGTAGTAAAACAAACGCAAATGAAGCGATTTTTAACAAGGTCAATACTAGGAGAAGAAAGGGAAAAACAATTGTTATACCCACAGGATTTACCTGTCTAAACAAAGCCATTTATGGAATAGTCTCATGCTTACAGTGAACAGTAGTATCACACAATCAGGTAAGCTAATCGAAAACAGTCATATGACAAGATACACACCATACTGAAGTTCACTGATTTTAGGGTATCCAAGTAATATCTAAAAGCCATGCTAAGTGAAGACTCAGAAGTACCTTCCCCACCCCACCATTAATATTATAGGACATAACACTAGAATCCTTACTGTCAAACAGACAGTACTGAAAGCAGACACTGTCAGCATCTCCTCTCTGTACTTCAAAGACTGTTCTTATTTTTTTTGTCTGAAGAAAAAGAAAAACCTTATTGCAAAGATTTAGCGTAGGTAAGCCATTAAAGTTCTAAGACTGCCAACAAGAAAGTTAGTTTTCTTGTGCAATGATGACTAGAGTAAGCCAAAATAAGTTAGCGGCATGTTATGCAAAGCTCAGAACAAATCTGAAACTTACGACTACTTCCAAATTCTTCAAACAGGAGCTTCACCTTCTCCCACTCCGTGGAATTCTTCTTGTTGGGAATATCCAGAGGAACAAAAGCACTGTAACAAGCAGAAAAAGTCATCACACCCCAATTAGTCAAATATCAAAAAATTCTGCTTCCAAGTCAAGAAAATAGAAATTAATTTATTCCTGAAGAAAAAATGAATGGTGCTAGGTTTAAAAACTCCTGAAGGTACTCCTTCATTTTATTCACATCCCTGTCAAATGCTGTACTTAGATCAGCAGAGGACGTGTGTGAGTATATGCAGTCAGGTCTGAGGTCAGTGAACAAGTGATTTTCTATTTACTAGTACTAGGAAAGGTATGGACCCTAGAGTCAAGCATCATTAAAAGGTAAATTAATCTCATTTACTATCCTGGTTTGACTCGTGTTCAGACTTGCAAAAAGACTCCAAGCACCAAATGAGACAAATTTTCTTATAAATTCACACTTCTGCAAGCTAGAATAAAAGAATTAAAGTTTGGTGTTGGATGCATTTAAGTTTAAAGGGACATGTTTCTTTATTATTACAACTAACAACACATCTGTATTCCATTCCTTGGTCTGTAGTTGGCCTAGAAAACTGAACAGCAGAGAAGCTGATTAAATATTTTTGATCCTCCAAAAAGCAGACTAGCAAACAGTGCTCAGAAGAATGTCAGATAGAACAGTCCCCTCGCTGAGAGCTTCCTGCTGTCAGCCTCCCCATCTGAAGTTCAGTAGTAAGAATAACTCTTCAGCACCTCCATAGACAAAACAGCTCGTTTTGCAACAGCTGGAAAACCAGCATCTCCACACCCATCTGAAACTACAGATTCCAGACATAAACCAGAATGCCTACAAATCACAAGGAAGTCAGATTTGGAGGGGAACTAATAAGAGTACCCAAACGCAAAGTCCATAAAGAATGCTCACAAGTATATTTTGGACTGCAATAAGAAATAGTATGTCATTAGATTCATGCTTTAAGTCCCAATAAAAAAATGAAAAACAAATAAGTATCTTCCAGGAGGATACTTCAAGCCTCAATTACAGAACAGAGGCATGTGTTCCAAAGGTTAGTGTTAAACTAACAGTGTGCAGTTAAAACTGTAATATCAAACCAAACTCAAACTAGTACTCTGCAAACTTAAAACTTTAAAAATTAAAATCTTAACTTTTAAATAAACATCTGAGTTTTCATTTCTTGACTGTGCAAGGGATAGATTAAGACTAGTGTCTATCGAAGTTGATGCATGCTTGCTGACTTTAGATGGTTCTTGTATCTGCCTCTGGTAGCAATTCTCTCTTGCATCCAGGCAAAAAAAAAAAAAAAAAAACACACCCAAACACCACCAAACCACAGGTATGAAAACAAGGTTATGCAGAACTTCTACTTAAAAGAGATTGCAACACATAACTTTTATTTGCTAAAAAGGGTTAAAAAAATAGGAGCCTCTGGGAAACTAAGCAACCTCAAGTCATTCGTATTTTAACATCAATATGAATTTTTTTATCTGTGGACCACACGCAGGGAACAAATGAAATGGAACATCTTGGGATGTTTATAACTTGCTTGTTGTTCCCCGCCCCCCCCCAATATTTCCTGTTTTTGCTAAACTACCTACAATCAGCATGGCAAAGGACACTAATCAGAGCAGAAGCCACAGTACCCATTATACACACTTTCCAATTAGTCCTCAGCTAAATCTTGACTGAAGGAGACTGACATCTCATTCTGCTACCGTTTAAGTTCCATGGACCAAGAGTCACTGAAAGGAATGCAGGAGCAATAAATTCAGACTTCAATCCCAAGCAAGCAGGACTCTTATTTCCCCTTCTGAACAGGGTCCTTCAACCAGTAAGAAACCAGTCAGAAGGCTAACTAACCCACTTGAACAGACTTTGGGTCTCTAGCTTAACATGCCACAAGAACAATACAGAGTTAGCATGCCTAGCCATCAACAGATCTGCATCCCTTCCTTACTCCAACAGGATCTCTAAAACACAGTCCAGCCATTGCACCAGCAGTGCACACAGCAGTTTAGGTCTGTTCTTTATGCACACTGAGCAAGAAGTAATTTGATAAGCCTTGGCTATTTTCCTATGTTGACTAAATGGTCAACAGAGCCAGAGGGCCGTAGTAGCCATCAAAAGAATAAGGCATTTCCAAGCTAAATAATTCCATTCACCTGTCATAACTGTGACACAATACAAGTCAGTTCACTGACAATGAGTGAGTAGAGCACAAGTGCAAGTGCAGGGCCTTACAGGTGTAGCTGAGAATTCAGTTAATACAAGCAAGCAGAGCAGCTCAGCTGTGAAGCCTTACACATGGAGCTCTAGGCACAAATGGGATTATTAACTGCAGTAATTTTAACAATAGACCCAAACTGCTATGTGTTTAAAACAGACTAGGAATATTACCATCTAGATCAATATCTAGGCTGCAGAACAAGGGAAGTAAATGCAAGACAGGCAGTTTAAAACTATTAACTTTTGGCAGGGGTAGTACCACACAGGTGTAGATGGGTCAGGTTTGATCCTTAAATCAAAGAGTACCATTAACTGTCAACCTTAGGAAAAAAAAATTCTAACACACTAAGTTTAAGCTCATTTCCCTAAATTAAGATCTGCTATCATGTAGTTCACATAATTATTTATAGGCTAATTAAGCATATATTCATAGCTTTTTAAAAGCTAATGGTTTTACAAAACTTAAAGTAACTAGTTTTAATTCCAAACACTGACTGTCAGGGAAATATTCCTTTTAGAATCAAAAATTTACTGGCCTTAAAAGCAAGTATTTTAGTCTAAAATAGACTGCTGTATAAGGATGCCTTAACATAGATTATATCTCAAGCCCCTTGGCTCCAGCATATCACATTTAGAGTAAATAAACCATATTCAAGGAAAGTAGATTATTTCTAAGAAGGGAAAGATATTACAAGTAAATATCTGTTCTGAGTACCCCAGTAGAAATTTTTCACATACTTCTTTTAGTGATAACAATAACTTATCATTCATTATAACCATTTAATCAACTAACATTAATACATCAAGGGGTTTTTTTTGTGTGGAGCATTTAACTGCTACTAAACACATGCATTTTTGCCAGAGCAACAGGCTTTGTAACATACAACTAAAGTAAGAGCTTATAAATACTGCTCCTACTAGCAATTTAGACAATGGAATTCTACTCACTGAGCTGTGTTATCAGCTTAAGAAAAAAAACTCCAAGATCATCTGGCACATGACAGAAATGTGTTTCCCAAAATAATCACATAGATCTCTAATGGAACAAAGTAAACATCCAAGTAGGTATAAGATATCCTTAAACATAAAGGAACAATAAAAAAAAAAAAAATGCATTGAGCTTGGAGGACTGATGCCCAGGCAAGAGAAAAGGACTTCTTATGCAGACCTGCCTTTAACAGAATGAAGCTATTTATTGGTCTGTTTTAATTATACGGATTACTTGCTAAATCCATCATAGCAGAGGCTGGGCTTCATATGATGAGAAGAACAGACTATTTGCTAGGCACTTAACAGGAAACTTTCCAACCCTTTTTGCTCTTGAAACCTGTGTGCATTACTCTAGTCCATTAAGCCTAGCCTCCTAGAATTAAATCTAGTAGACAAGATTCCAGTCTGTTTTAAATGTTGCCTGATTCCAACCACCAGTGAGAAAAATCTCCTGCTGCTGCCAGGTGTAAGTAATACTGCAAGATTGGTCTTCACTACCACTTTCAGTTGAGGCCCTCATGCAGAAGATTCACCTTCAACACTTATCTCCTTCCTATCACACTAGGACTTTTGAGGCTCCTCTTTGCTCTCACTGTGCAGAGAGTTGAATTTCTGCACAATAAGCACATACATGAACGCTGAGACATCCGTTATTTTATGTAAGCATATAAGTACATGGGAACCAAAGTTCACATTTTTCAGCACAGTCACCTCAAACACTTCCTAAACAGAGTTGTTCAGTCTTGTAGTTTCCCTTAAAAGAGACAGTAAAAATTGTATTCTTCCGCAGCAGTATGTTAAGTAACAAGAGTGCTTTTCCATTCCAAGGGCATCAGGATGATGTTACCATTTACCCATTGCTGTCTTAAAAGAAAGCAAGCAACCTCATACATACCATATCAGAAAATTTTTTTTCAATTAGAAGCCAGAAATACTAAAATCTCTATCAATATCTAAAGGAGTCCTGCCTCCCCTGCAGCAATTACTTCTGCTCTTAGATCAGTGAGTTTCAAGTCTGTGCCTATAGAGAAGCATTGGTCAGTAAGCGTCAGTGCCAGGCCAAGCACTATAGCTGTCTGGCTGCCAGTCAATCTCACTGTCATAGCACAGTATCAGAGGGGATCATGGAACCTGCTGTGATTTAAAAGTTGCAAAGACTTTAAAGAACAAGCCTAAGAGCACATGGTCAAGAATCACATTCCACCTTGCTAGAAGAGACGCAAACATGCTTACAGCTACTGAAGATTCAGATGGCATCTACTAAAGATAGTGCAGAACTTCCTGAGCTGGACACATCATACAATACGTATACATATGCCTATGATGTGAGGCAACAGTCAGAGTAACAGTTTTTGTCAGAAGCTTTAGTCATATTCCTAGACCATATCTAAGCCAACTCAAACTATACCTTTAGTCTCTCATAACAGCAAATATATTACTTTTACTCAGAAGGACAATAGATTTCTTAGAATTGTACCTTAGGTGTTTATCAAAGTGAAAACAATGTTCCAATAAGATGATGTACAATTAGAAGCATCCATTTCACTCTGGTTTCCACTTCACACTCCAGTACTTCGACATGGATCATTTTAGCATACATTTTGTAAATTTTATCAACTCCACTGTTGGAGTCAAAAACGCTAAAAAGCTTGTGACACAACACATTAGAAACATTCAATATTGGTGCACATATCTTGCTTAATGGTGATCTTTAATTTAATTTTTAATACTGCTTGGCATTTCAAAACAACAAGTTACTGACTTCAATAACATCTGCCTTTCAAACAATTGCCAGTAAAACCTTTATCGTACAAGGCACAACTATGTCAAATATAACCCCATACTACACCGATGTCCTTCATAGAACACTCCCATTTAGGAATTTACTAAGCACATAATATCTACTCATATTCCCAAAAGCAGTTTGGGGATGTCCATGAAGGCATTCGATACAAGCAGAAAACAGGAAGAGCACAAATATTTTACTCCCTGTTGTACACTGTGATACCAATACAGTTGAAAATGTCATAGTCATGTCCTTTATAGACATGTACACCGCACAAACAGGCAGCAGTTGGAAGCACAAGTACTCTCACCATTAAGAAAACTTTTGTTGTAGCTTCGAGTTAAGCTCTTGCTTCTCAGGTATCTAATTCTCAGGATATTGAAAACTTAGAGATTAAGGTAGATACTATACAAGTTGAATGCACCATAATCTACCTTTTTAATATTGCACAGAATGAAGTTCTAGTTTAGATTCTATTTAGTATATCCTGTTAATGTCTAATACAAATACTCACCCAATTAAGAGAAGAACTGCACAAACTGTGACAAATCCCAGAGTATATTTGAATGCCGTCTTAACCTGCTGTATATTAAGAGAGAGTTAGTTTATTAACAACATAAAACCAGAGAGATTTGTCCAGCAAGATACAGCAAAGCATATTTAGTGTAACAAGTGCTCTACAAAAGGACTTCGACAGAAAACACGAGTCCTTTTAGATACAAGTCAGAGGTATACATTCTTGAAGAGTCTCATAGCTTGAGAACAAGGAACAATTACTCTGAATTATGCTTCCATCATAAACTGCCCACTTGAACAGCTGCGGCCAGAAGCCAGGGTACATTCATTCAGTGCAAATACACTCAAAGAAAATTCTTATTACCAATACTTTATATTATGGCTATGATTAGAAGTCTTTTTTCTCATATTAAGTTTACAACAGAATAGAGGAGAAAACAACCATCACCATCAATGACTAAAAAATTCTTTAAGAGAAGTATTCCCCTTTGAGAAGGCAGCATCTTATTGGCATGCATTTATTGTATTCCCTGGAATGTCATGGATGTCAAAAATCTTCAATGCATTACAAAAAGTGTAATTTCAGGTAAATTACTATTGCCTACCTGAACAAAAAATACTAACAGTACAGGAAGGAACTCAAATTTAGTGTCTATCAGTTTAATCTTCCCATCTTCTACTTTATGACCTGTTTATACATGTTTTCTGTTCTACAGAAAATCTCACAGAAGAAGTTTTAGCTTCCTGTATATGAAACCAGGCTCAAAGGAATCCATAGGAAGTTTAAAAATTCATGGCAACAGAGATGCTAATTACTTCTCTCACTAAAGTTTCACCTCCTGTGAGACCACAGTGTTTAAAGTAGTCTAATGTCAGACTACGTGTTATTAAGAGCTGACTCTGTATTGTAAAGGAACTGTAGTAGTGACTTAAAAATGCTGTTAACATTGCAGTATTCAAGTTAGACCATCGTTCACACTTTCACTTTTGCTGGTACTCATTTGTTTTTTTCCACTGCTTTGTGCATTTGCTAGAGTGAGCTTACTGAGCACGTGTTGCCATCATCCTCTTCTTTCTCCTCGTAATAGAAATAGACAAAAGGAATCCACAGAAAGACGCAGAAGAGTATGATGGAGTACAATGCTAGAAGAAAGATGAATTAAGTGAACAAAGTTACATTGGCATTTCATTTACCACATAGTAATTCAAAGGAAAGAAGCAAGCATTAGTCTCCTCTCATTATGGCTCTTGCTAATTTCAAGCACTGAAATGTTAACCAAATTTACCAGCTAGCATAGGAACTATTACTGCTTTATGTACTCCAGAGGACTTGCAGAATTAACCCTTGCAGATTAAGGAGTTCAAATCCAACTTCAATTCCGCAACCAAAAATAAAAACTGAAAGTAGCCACCTGCAATGCAGGTGGCACACAGCACTAGCACACAGGGGAAGAGGTAGCATGGAAGATAGTGAATAAAAGTAAGTTATGCCACCCAATAACAGTTTCCAATAGAAAAGGTACATAAAAAAAAAAAAAAACATAACAAATTTAAAGCTATTTTGGTCACTGGACTCCATTTCAAAGGGTGTCCTACTATTAATGTAAGTGCATTAGAGGCAGAAGTCATGGTTCTGTTACTGATGACCTCAATTCACAAAACAGAACAAGCCATAGCAATATAATAACATTGCTTAACATCTCTTTTATAAAGGAGGAACTCACTGGAGATTGCAACAGACATTTATCTGACCAGCCACTAAATCAGAAGTCATACTGTCATATTACTTCAATAAACAGGTGATCTTAAGAGACCTTAAACCAACTAGTTTAACTTAAATAAAGGGTTAAACTAACACAAAAATCTTTAGAAATACTAACTGGCAAGTTTGAGGACACTAAGAAAGCTAGTCAAAAACCAACCGGACTGATTAGACAGTGATAGGCAGGGAGAAGATCAACTTCAGATCAAAAGTTTCAAGTTCAAATCTTCATCTCTCAGTATTGTAAGAGGTTACATACTTTTTAGTACAACATTACTAAATCCTTCAATACTTCAAAATAGCTTCTACTACAAACATTTGAGAAGTCTATTAGGAAACTAAAAACTGTTCAGTGGTATGTTAACAGTATTTGCAACCCACAAGAAAGGTATCCTAGAATAGTTAACCAAGTTCTCAAAATGTTACAAGTACCACACAACTGAAACTACTTGTGAAAGAACAAGCATCTTTCCTTTGAGTGGGTGAGTACAGATACCCAGGATTACACAAAACCTGTGATTTTTGGCTATTTTTATAGCTTCACCTCATTTTGCATTAATAATTAGTGTCTCCTTAACACTAATCAATATAATCACACCTAACTTAAGGTTGTGTTTTAAGACAACAAAGTAACAACACCTAGATCCCAAATACGAAGTTTTTTCTAAACAGAATTAATTCTTTGGAAAACTGCTTCAAGGCATTAGGTCTCTAATCAGTACATACCTCTGAGTTAACAAGGCAGTGTAACAAACAAAACAAGTTCTTGGTTAGTTTATAAACTTTCTTACATTTTTCCAACAGCATAAAATTCAGGGCTCTAAGACATGTTAAAACTTTAAACTCTGAACTGTACCATTCTTAGACCTTCTAAAGAAATACTCAAACTGCTTCAATACTGTGAATGCTTTCAGAAATCAAGCGTCTCCAATCTAAAAAAATGTGCTTTTTTAGACTAGTCCTAAATCCACACTGCACTCTGACAGTAAATTAGGAAAGGTACATGCATCATTAATCAAAGGTCAGAATAATCAGCCTATAGAGGTCACTACAAGCACAGAAAACATCCTTGCTTCCAAATATTACTGTATCAACTTCAGCATACCTTAAATCCTACAAGCTACACCCATAGCTCATTACATAATGGAACAGATTCACATCTCTTCTAAGGGGATAAAGGAAGTGAGACTCAAAGTCAAGACAGTACCTATGAACAGTGTGAAATAAGGCTACCATTTACCACTACACCAATCAAATATCGGTTCTACTTAAATGCTTCAGTTTTCTGAAGCTGACACTAAGCTTCAGTTTTCTGAATTCAAGTCACTGGTGTTCAGTTATTGAACACACAGCTAGTCTGTACCTTGAATTTGTTTTATATAGTATGTTTTATCATCCTATTACACAACTAGAAATCCTTTCCTTTCTGAAAACTGTTTCCAGACAATGCTGTAATTTTTCATAGCAGTGTCTTGTTTTCTAAAGTTTTCTATACTGCAACAGAGTATTAGCAGATGACTACTCTCAATGGCTGCTAACAATCAGCTACATTTACCAACTAAGCTTTTTGTTGAATTGCCTTATTTAATTGGAATGAGGCTGCTGAACTCATGTATTGCTAGACCAGCCTTCATCAGGTGCCGAAAAAGCCTTTCATAGCACAAGTACCTCAACAGAACACAGTAAGTAAGCAAAGTTTTCAAGTATGTTCAAGAAACACTACCAAATACAGTCTTCTCACATACTTTCATTAACATCACTGTATTCAGCTTTTAAAGGACTGTCACAAGTGTTTGGCAACTGATTTGTCAAAATGTTTTGGAAATATCTTATTAACTTCATCATCTATTCCAGGCTTCAAGGCTAAATTGTGCCTCTCAACTCATATGGTGAGTTAGCAAGCGTAAACAGTTAAGAGTAAAGCTTAAGTCAGAGGCAATTCTATAAAAGAAAACGTTTAAAGAAGTTAAAACAGTTCAATGCCATGACCATGTGAATACTTAAGAGGAGTCTGTGCACTAAACGAGTTGCTAAATATAAGTATTTTTACATAACAGATCTGACTCCCGCAGTAAAAGCGGTCAGAAAAAAAAGCCTATATTAATTTCCCAAATCGACCACTTCAGTAATACACTGCAATATGCACCGAGTTAATGTAAAACCAGATCAAAGAGATGAAAAGAAGGTATTTTTCATTCAGTTGAGAATTACTTCCGTTGAACTAGGCACTGTTACCAACAGTTCTGGTCCACTTTCTTCAAATTCCTTTCCTTTTCCACATGCAATGCCTCACAGGTAAGCAATTACAGCATACATAGAGCACTACCAAGTGCAACTGGATATTGAAGACTCATCTGATCTTGCTTGATCAGTCAGTTCTGTGGAAAAGCTTTCAATTTTCATCCTCATCTAAGAAATACAATTAGGTCAGATTTTTCTTTACCACATCTGGCTTGGTCTTTAGCTGAACTAAAACCCTCAAGCTGAAACTATGTGAAGTGTACCATAGGAGTTGCTTCTAGATTCAAGTCTCTTCTACCCCATGATCCATTCTTGACTCAAGGCATGGACAAAAGCCATGCTACAGAACTAGGTTGTGTTGCCAAGTTAATTATTAAATACATGAGCTTTACCTGTAAGTTCAAGACTTGCAGTGTAGCTAAAATATTCAGACGTAACTGTTTACTTCTAACATAAGCACCCAAGAAGCAGACCAGAAAGCACATCAGCATTCCACATTAACAACAAAAGAAAACCAGAATCTTTTTTAGTTGACAACAGCAGTCAGATGTCAAAATGCCTTCCTCAATGAGCTTTAAGAGGCAAGTCATAGGTGAATAAAGGAGGTGTCCCACTTCTCCCACTCCAACATCCACATGTCATACTAGAACTCTTCTTTGCACCAGTTCTGGTTTTTGCTACAACTTTTGCTGGGTCACCTTAACTCAACACTTGCAGAAAAAAGCCGCAAATCTAGCAACCTTATAGCATAGGTGGCCAGCAGCACCATGGGCTGTGGTAGGAAAAATGGCACCACCAGATGGAAGAAGGTCATTATTCCTCCTAACTCAATGTTGTGTCACCAACACTTCAGAATTGGTATCCCCAGTACAAGAGAAACACATACTGGAGAGTCCAGCAAAGCACAACAACAGTTAAGGGCTTGAGCCGCTGAGAGAGCTAGAACTGTTTAGCCTGGAGAAAAAACTTTTGGAGGGATCTCATGCAGGTGTATAAATACTTGTGTGGGACTGAAGACAGTGGCAGACTTCTCAGTGGTGCCAGGCAAAGGATAAAAAGAATGAATACAAACTGAAATGTAGGAATTTCCATTTAAACAAGAAATTTTATTCTGCTTGCAGTCAAACTGGAACAGGCTACTCAAAGACAGTCAAGTCCCCCATTCTTGGAGATATTCAGAATCCAACTGGAGACTGGCATAAATGAGCTACTGTCAATAAGGAGTATACTAAACTATATTATCTCCAGAGTTCCCTTTCCAACCTCAGCATTTTTTTGAGTCAAAGGTGATTTCTACCAATTTTGAAGTTTTGGTTAGCACACCACAAGCATCCATGAAACAAAGCTCACTAGCATGCTGCTACAAACAGGACTCCTTCTATCACAAATAGTGCAATTCCATCCCAAGAAAACACCTAGTTTTAATACTTAGTGATACTTCTCACAGTATTTAATCTATTGACTATAAAAACTGAGCCAAGTTAATTCCACATGCATCTAAAGCTTTGTTTCTGACAACAGAATTGTGGAAGTCAGCAGACTTAGAGACATCAGGATCCTCCTTGAGGGTTCTTTAGTGAAGACCTTGCAAAATCCTCAAGTAGAGACTAATACTTTCAGGCAGTTTACAAGCCTGTCAGGTAGTCACCTCCACCTAAAAGGGGGAACAGTCAAGTTGAGTCTCAGTTTTCTGTCCCACAGACATTATTGGAAGCCATTAAAGTCAATTCCTTCAAATTTATGCTCTACTAAAAGAACTGAAGTTCTTAGCTTGTGCTGACTTGTAACAGATGTTTTGCATTAAAAGCCTTAAGCTCTAATAGCATATTCTGTATCGACTCTGAAACAGGATCCACATATACAAGATTCAGCATGAGACCCATTCCAGAATTCTCCATCCATCATGAATCCACTGCTGGCACTTAGTCCTTACATTCACCTTACATGTGCCATCTTGATGCATGGGCTCCCAAAGCATTTCAAGACAATATTTAATATTACAGCTTAAAGGTGACTATTTACATGTAGTAGCATAAACTTTAACTTACACTTACTGTTGCAACAGCTCTATTGGCTCTGTTGAAAACCCTTGTTACAATAGCCATTTTATAGGACCGTAACATAGAAAAAAGTTCTTAAA